GATGTTGGCCTTCTTGTCCATGATGGCCCGGATCTGGTCTACTGTGAAGTTCACCATGGTGGCGGATGGCGGTGGATTCTCCCAGGCAGATCCGAGCAAGGTAGGTCCCGCCGAGGATGGCGGCGACGAGGGCGGAAGAGCGATATGTCTACGACTTTTAAGTTACTTGATCTTTGGTAGATAGGAATCCTACCATCTAAGTCTCCACAGTAAGTCACTCATGGAACAATCTCCCAGGTATTCTGGCACATAACCTTGAAGACTAGCACTGCCATTCTCTGGGCAGCCATATTATTTAGGACAGTCACGTTTTCAGAGAGAAATCCATTCTCTGAGCTCTGACCCAGGCCTTAAACCACCTATATCTTATGCCAGGCTCACTAATGTCAAAATGAGCAACAAAGCCCCATAATGAGGCTTTCCAACTTCTCTTACCCAAGTCCAGTCCTAAGCTACAGCCAGAGACACATGTCTAACCAAAGTTCAACTGCATTTCTAAAACTGGCCTCTCATGAGGTTTGTGGGTGCCAAGTGGGAATAAATGAAAGACTTTGGCTGATGCTTCAGCAAGTATTTCAACAGACCCAATTACTAATCCTCTGAGGACTTGAGGGGTCAATGCATTACCAAATCCTGTACTTCATCAAAGCCTATTTAAACATTTCTCCAGAGTCAATGAGGAAAAAATCACAAAGAAGGACCTTTAAGTAAGTGATGGCAGCAGAGCCATGTACCAACAAGCTGAAGATTTCTGTGAGAGGCAATGCTTCCAAGCTTAGTGGGTTAGAAGGAGGGCTTAAATCAGGAAGAAAAAGAATTCTCTCCACGTTGCTCATGGGCCTGTTTGGGAAACAAAAACTTAGCAGAATTGATTGAGAAAAAAATGCCCAGTCAAGTTGATCAGATTCATTTATATGTTTTATAGTTCCAAATACTAACTTTTCCTGATTCAAAGGATTTTTCATTCTTCCCATTGTTTTTAATTTAGATTGAATATTGTTCTAAGATATCTGAAAATAATGTAGTTTTGAAGATGTGTTTATACTTTCATTGGAAGCCAAGAAAGTGAGAAGAAATTAAATCCTAGAGCTACTGAAGTTTCCTAAGAAAAACAGCTCATTTTCTGAGTCAATCCAGACTGATAATAGAAACCAAAATAAACTAAGACGTCCAGGATTGGGAGAGTTGTCTAGAGAGATAAGAATTTCCAGTGTCCCTCTTTTTAGCTCATGGAGTCTATTTGTGGGTGTGGAAAATATGCCACAGGGTGAAGAAACCAATGGCTGGCCTCAATCTAAACACTGAGAAACCTACAGTCAACTAGATCCAGGTCAGTGATAACTAAATCTTTTTCCCCAAGTTTTAAGCAGATTAATTCAATTTAGCCAATTTATTTTCACTGGAATAGTTTTTGTAGTTAGAGTCTGTGAATTGAAGGTTAATCATTCTGTCTAAAAATGAATTTAGACAAAGTGACATGACAATGTCAATAGAAAAGATTATCTGTAATATTGGCAGATAAGGCATTGTTGAGAACTACTGAAGTCACAATTACAACATTTTGGTTAACATTTATGTCTCATTAAGTAGTTGATTCTGCAGGTTTCTGTTTTAAAGAAACTCTTTCCCCTTTTCATAACTTCTTGTTGCTACACTGAAGGTAGAATTTGTGGGTTGAATCTACAATATTAAGAATGCTTAACCACACAGTCTCCGTCTATAGGAGCAATGGATAGAGAACAAACAACCCAGACACTGAGCTTTCCTGAAAAGCCAAGATGTCTTTCCTCACCTTTGTTGAAGCTGAAAGGTCATGATGCTGACTTCTGTGTTCATAAATGTTTGAGGAAAATTAGGTGACTATGTTTTGGGCAGAAACTGGAGAAAGAAGAGGGGGAGAAGGAATAAAATATCTTATGATCTTTTGTCAACAACATGTACTCACTCTTGAAAACCCACGTACAGATCATTCCAAAAAAAAACAATGTATTCTTGTATATATTCAATATTTCTACCAGTTATCAATAAAAACTTCAAGTTCATCTTACTTGATTAAACTTAGGACAAAAGGGCAAATTACATTATATTAGGTCACCCTAACATTTGTGTTTTCTCAATAGGAAACTCAAGGAAACGTCATGACTCATTTAATTCCATTTGTATAATAAACTGTAAGTACAATGATATATCTAATCCAGAGCATTAGTCTATATGTGAGGAAAGAAATATTGAGAACTTTTCAGGGAAATTTGCATCACTTACATGTCCACGTTCAAAGATGTGGAAAAAATCATGTTGAGCCAGACATAACAACCAAGGCTGTTGACTGAATGCTGTTCAATGAGCCATTATAAAGATAGTTGCTTGGCATTTTGAAGGGACAGACTTCATCTGCACCTCTGTCTCTATCTGTGTGTGCATGAGCACTCATTTGGCAGAAAGAAACAATAACTCACATAATACATATGGTATGATATAGAAAGGCTTGGCACTTTCATATCTGATGCACAATTGACTTTTAAAAGAATGTTGTGTTTATATACCTATAAATATGCATGCCAGTAGACAAGTATAACTTCAAAACAATTGTTACTGATTGAATGTGTCCCAAAAAGCTATCTGTGAGACTTTAAGAGCTAGAAAGAAAGTTCAGAAGTCAACGGTGATCAATGTTCATAGTTAACATCTTGCTTTTATTGTGGTGTTTGTAAGGTGTTGTCATTTTTAATTAATATAACTAAGGAGAAATTTAACCTCCTTCCATTCCTCTTTGCAACCATCTACAAAATGACAGCGTTGCATGGAAGGAGTAGCTCCACCAATCCCAGAGCCAGGACTAAAGAGGTGGTGGCATATTTTAGTATTGAATTTAAAATAGCGTTACTCAGAAATACCGCGATCTTTCCAGATGGACCACATGCTCACAGCCCAAGCTGAATCGATGGGAAAGATGAGCAACGTAACAGAATTCATCCTACTGGGCCTGACTCAGAATCCAGACCTGCAGAAAGTCTTGTTTGCTGTGTTTTCAATCTCCTACCTGATCACACTGGCAGGTAACCTGCTCATCTCGGTTACCATCTTCATCAGCCCAGCCCTGGGTTCTCCCATGTACTTTTTTCTGTCCTATTTGTCCATTGTAGATGGTTTCTACTCTTCCTCCATAGCACCCAAAATGATCTTTGACTTGATCTCTGAAAAGAACACCATATCCTTCAATGGCTGCATGACTCAGCTCTTTGCTGAACATTTCTTTGCTGGAGCTGAAATCATCTTGTTAGTTGCCATGGCCTATGACCGCTATGTTGCCATCTGTAAGCCCCTGCACTATATGACCATCATGAGCCGACGTGTGTGTGGTTTCCTGGTGGGAATGGCTGGAGTCTTAGGGTTTATTCATGGAGGGATCCAGATTTTAATCATAGCTCAGTTACCATTCTGTGGCCCCAATGTCATCGACCATTTTATGTGTGATTTAATACCTGTCCTGGAGCTAACCTGCACAGACACTCACACGTTGGGGCCCCTGATTACTGCCAACAGTGGGTCACTGTGCTTGCTCACTTTTTCTATGCTGCTTGTTTCCTATGTCATCATCCTGTGCTCCCTAAGGACTCGCAGCTCTAAAGGGCGTCGCAAAGCCCTGTCGACGTGTGCCTCTCATGTCACTGTTGTCATCTTATTCTTTGTACCTTGTTCGTTCCTGTACCTAAGACCCATGACCTCCTTCCCCGCTGACAAAGCTGTGACTGTGTTTTGTACCTTAGTAACTCCTATGTTGAACCCTTTAATCTACACCCTCAGAAATGCGGAAGTAAAGACTGTCATGAAGAAGCTCTGGGGGCAAATAATGAACAAGGATGATGAATAAACCTTGTGATTAGAACATTTTAAGCAAAAAAATCTAGCGATAGTTTGTAGAGATTTAGTCCCCTTCTTAGTTGATTCAACTTGGGATCGTCAATTATCCTGCCTGGGTCGATTGTGGGCAGTGCTGACATATCCATTAAGGCAGAGGAGGTGCAGTGCCTAGAGCCCATAATAGTTTTAGGAGCCCATGAAAAGTTTCCATTACTTTTAAAATAAGAAGAAAACTAAACATAACCCGATATATAACTTGGATTATAGACATCTTTAAACCAATACAGTCATAAAATATAATTTTTAACATTTTTGTGGAGGAAAGGACCCATGAGGGCAAAAGTATCAAAGGCCTACACAAGTCATAATGTTGCCCTGATTGTGGATATGAAACAGATCAACAGCAATGTTCTTTTTTTTTTAATACCAATATTCTTGAACACTCTTTATATACAGCAATACCGCTGGAATGAAGTTTTATTTTAAAAGAGGAAACACAACAGTCAACAATGGACCACACAAACGATGGTGGTCCCATAAGATTATAACAGAGCTGAAAAGTTCCTATTGCCTAGTGACATCATAGCTGACATAATGTTGCAGGGCAACAAATTACTCACATGTTTGGTGATGCTGGTGAAAACAGACCTACTATGCTGCGTGTCAGATAAAAATATAGCACACCCAATTGTGTACAGTACATAATACTTGATAATGATAATAGATGACTATGTTACAGGTTTATGTATTTACTATGCTATACTTTTTATCATTGTTTTAGAGTGTGCTTTCTGCTTATAAAATTTTTGCTGTAGAACAATATGCTGTGTTATACCAGCAGCAACCTCATACATTTCATGTTTACTTCATCTCTCGATCGCATCATTTTCTCTTGTGCTTGATTTAATCTCATGTTGATTTGTCCAGTAACATGCTGTACAGGCTTATAGCTCAGGAGCAATAGGCTATATGGTGATGTAAGAACAAGTACGTGTCATAGAACTGGACAACAATGATCACAAATCAACATTACAGAAAAGAATTCATATCATGAACATAATGAAATTCTAAGAGATTTGAAAAAAATGCTTTGAAGTCAGAGTTTGGGAGTTTTGGATCAAATAAGCTTTGATTTCTCATCTTGTGTCTGGCTTTAATTAGCCTTGTAAATATAAGCAATTTGTTTTACCTCTCTACCTGTTTTTTTTTCATCTGTAAAAGGGAAATAACAGCACATACTTCCTTAAGTTGTTAAAATTAAACAATTTAAATTGAAAACATGAGTCAGCCTAAAAATAGTGAGACTTGCTCACACACTGTCACAGCCTTCAGAGATGTCATCACAGCACATGGAACGCTGGACATCGCAGTTCCTGGCAGAGGAGCCCTAGAGCACCGCTACTCTCATTCCCTAACCATAATCACGGGAGGACCAAATGTATGCCTCAGCTTCACATCCCTTCAAAATATGTCATAAATGCCATCCATTTATGAGTAGGGACCACATAACAGTGAGTTATTATTTCTGCAAGGAAACTTAATGGGGCCAGTCTCTGGACACTAAGAACTAGCCCATCACCAGCCCCCTATTCTGGGACAAAAATGCAGCTACAAATGGGGGAGCTGGTTGGAGCAACTGTGAGATACCTGAACAGAACTTGTTTCAAAAGCTCTCACAAATGATGGATTCTGTCCCATTCTGGTCCTCTGGAAGGGGGATCCCAGTGCCAGAGACCAAAAGAACTATCTCTGCAGAGCTTGTGATTCCTGGGGAAGAGCTCAGAACCCTGTTTCCAGGAAATTTCTCACCCAGGTATTCCAATACTATGTGACGCTGACATATCTGGTGTTCTCAGGACTTTATATCATGTTAGTTCTCACTATATATGAAGGCATTTTTTAAACAGCTGCTTTTCCATCATTTCCTATGAGTAACCATCTTGTAAATGTAGGCAAGCAATGGTATGTTTAAAAAACCAAATTTCTCTTTTAAAGATCTAGTTGTAGTTCCCAAGAAAGATGGAATGAAAGACAGTATAAAAATAAGGATGATGGTGATGATAGCTCATGTTTATTGAGGTACCTTATGTGAATAAAATCGTAACCTAAGCACTCATAGGTTTTGGAAGCAGCAAATTTCTGACTTTAATTCCTTTCTGTACTTAATTCATTTTTAAGTTAGTTGGGCCATTGTTAATCATGATTTTGACAACAAAAAACAAGGGTGCAATAGGATCCTTTATGGTATTTGATATTTCAACTAGACTAAAAATAAAGGTGCTTTTCAAATTTCAACTAAAATAAGTAGGCTTTTTTAGGAAACCTCAAGATAAAATCACTGGCAAAAAGATAGGCCATTTTTAAGTGAGCCTCACCATGATTTCGTAGTTCTTAGTTGTTTGGAAAATTGGCACAATTATACTTTTATTATCTAAGGGCAGAAATGAATAAGTATAGAACTCAAGGTATCAGTTATACCTAGCTAATATTAGATTATGAAAATGTGACAAAATTAAAAGACACTATTTATTTTGCCTAAAATTCAACAAGTGTTGCTTTTATTAGATATAGAAGTTTCAGGGTAAAACAATTATTTCCTGACAATATGCTAAATTTATTGGTTCTTGGAGACTAATTTTAAGTACTTATAGTAAATAAATTGCTTCTCATATTAACTTCATTTGTTTTTTCTTAGTGTAAAAAGTGAATATGTGGCAGAATGGTGAATTACAGATTATTTGTCAAACATAGGATGTTGGTTATAAATTATGACAGCCTACACCCTTAATGGGTAAAGCCTGGGAAGGGATATGGTCAGAGTTTGTAAAACCAGGAAAAAAATGGAAAAAAAATGGAATAAACACTAGCATCCCTTGGAGTTTGAAACAGAATTAGGAAAAATGAAAGGAAAAGCCTTTTTGCATCATTAGCTCAAAAAAATAAACCATTCTGTTCTAAGTGCAGCTTATTTGAAACTCAATATAGATTGAAAAGCAAAAGAAAACAACCTCCTTATGTAAGGGTAGGAAAGGGTTGAGGTACGTATAATATCAAGTAAAGCATGTGGGGGGATATATGTTCCAGAAACCTGATTAAGAACTTTACATAAGGGTAAAGAGGCCCCACGATGTGATATGTAGATGACGTATTACAGAATTGTACACCTGAAATCTATTTAACTTTGGTAACAGTTGTCACCCCAATAAACTTTAATTTTTTTACAAAAGAACTTTACATAGATTATCTAATTTAATTCTCACAATAACACATTAGACATGTATTATCTTTATTTTAAAGACAAACATCAGAGTCTTCTATAGAGGTTTGGTCACTTACTCAAGATCATGACATGAATAAGCATAGGGAATAAGAATCAAACTCAAAGTACTACTCAGCCATAAAGAAGAATGAAATGTTACCATTTGCAACAATATGGATGGACCTAGAGAACATTATGCTAAGTGAAATAAGCCAGATGGAGAAACACAAATACCATATGATCTGACTTATATGTGGGATCTAAAGGACAAAACAAATGAACAAACTAATCAGAAACAGTCTCAGAGACATACAGAAAAAACTGACGGTTACTAGATGGAAGGGGGGGTCAGGATGAGGGAGAAAGTGAGGAAATTAGAAAACACAAATTGGTAGCCACAATGTTGCCATGGGGATACAAAAGACAGTTTGGGAAATATAATCAATAAAGTTGTAAAGATTTTGTAGGGTGTCAGATGGGCACTTGACTTATTAGGGAGACCAATTCATGGACAGTGTAGATGCCTGACCACTGCAGTGTACACCTGAAGCTGAAGCTGAATAATATTGAATATCAACTATAACGTAATTTATATATAGTCACAGGATGTGGAGTACAGCATAGGGAATAGAGTCAATGGAACTGTAACAGCTATATACAATGTCAGAGGGGTAGTAGATTGGGGGATTATCAATTTGTGAGGGGTGTAAATGTCTAACTATTACATTGTTTTGTATGCCTAAACTAACAAAAAAAAAAAGAATCAAACTCAAGTTGACCTTGCTCCAGAGTCAAGATCTTACCCTTTCTGCAATAGTGTAACTGCTACACTGCTGATGTCATAACGGGTGAGAAGAAGGAATAGAAGCCAAGCCTAGATGCACACAGACTGTTATATATAGCTAAGCATAAAGTTATTTGCCTTAAGTTGTTTTGGGCCTCACTTTTACACAACTCAATTATCATGCAGACTCAAATAATATCAACATGGATTGCTATTTAAATAAAGATCTGATGACGGATCAAAAATAACTGATGCTAAGTTTTGGTTTAGGCACTTGAAAGCTAGACAACCTTGATTAATCAATTAACCACATTAGGAGACACCGTTTCTTTGTTTCTAAAACAGGGATAATGATTCATGCCATGTATATTTTGTATATTGTTTTATAATCAAATTATGCAATTCAAGTGAAAAGGCTAAGTAAACCATAAAAGTCTATGATGATGAACAGATGGGTAAGATAAAATAAGATGATATACAATAATAAAAAACACGTTCTGGGGCTGGCCAAGTGGCGCGTTGGTTAGGAGTTGGCTTGGGACGCCAGCTCTGAGCAGCAGGGCCCCGGTTCAGATCCCACATGAGGGCCAGTGACACTGCCTTCTACAGCTAAGATGGTGAACAACAGCTCAACCTGGAGCTGGGCTGCCATGAGTCACCAGCAAGGGCGTAGGCTGCAGTGGAGCTGGCCGGCAGCAGGCATGAGCTTTCATGAGCTGCCGTGAGCCGCTGTGAGCAGCTGTCCAATGGCTGGCGAGCAACTGCCTCACCAGGGAAGAGCGCAATGATAATACCAACATGGGCCAGTGAAACAACGTCCTCCACAACTAGACTGAGGAAAGGAGGGATGGCAATTTGTCTGTTCCTTTTCCCCAATTTCTCAATAAAATCATTTTTTTTAATTTAAAAAAAAACAAGTTCTGGTTTGTTCCACTTACAGAAATAAAGTCATTTTTATTTCCTGCTTTACCATTCATTATTCATCTGCAATTTTTTCCTATGTAAAGAGCTTTTTCATGGCATTTTTTACCTCTTCATTTCTCAGGGTATAAATGAGTGGATTCAACATAGGTGTCAGAATACCATAAAACACAGCCATGTTTTTGTCTATAGATAAAGTAGATGAAGGACGCATATAAGTAAATATACAGGGCACAAAGAACAGGGCAACAACTGTGAAGTGGGCGCCACAGGTGGAGAGGGCTTTGTGTCTCCCCTCTGCACTGTGGGACCTCAGGGAGCGCAGGATGACCATGTAGGAGGCAGCCAACATGAGGAAGTTCAGCAGGCAGATCACACCACTGTTGGCCACTACCAGCAGACCGATGACGTATGTGTTGGTGCAGGCGAGTTCCAGCAAAGGGTACAAGTCACAGACAAAGTGATTGATCACATTGGGCCCACAGAAGGGCAACTGAAGGACCAGGAGCAGCTGAACCAATGAATGCAGGAAGCCCCCCAGCCAAGTCACCCCCACCAGCACAGCACAAAGATGCCTGGTCATGATAATTGTGTAGTGAAGAGGCTTGCAGATGGCCACATAGCGATCATAGGCCATCACCGTCAGCAGAATGATCTCAACGCCTCCCAAAAAATGGGCTCCAAAGAGCTGAGCCATGCAGCCCTCATAAGAGATGGCCCTCCCCTCATAAAAGGAATCGGCAATGAGTTTAGGAGCCAGAGAGGATGAATAACAGGTGTCAATAAAGGACAGGTTGGCCAGGAAAAAATACATGGGGGAGGCCAACGTAGAACTGGAGCTGATGGTGACCAAAATGAGCATGTTGCCACAAACTGTCATCACGTAGATTATCAAAAAGACCACAAGGAGAACTCTCTGTATTTGTGGGTTCTGTGAGAGTCCCAGCAGGAAAAACTCTGTGATATTGTGTGGTACGGCCATAGTCCAGAGACACTGAGCATGCAGGTAAGATATTGCCTGGAAAGTCAAGAGAGAAACAGAATCGTAGCAGAATTAATTCCAGAAAGGAAAAAATAAATGTCGCGAGGTTTCCTTTATCCGCATTCACTTCCCTTCATCCCTCTTAATCCCTTTTGTTCCAAAATTCTTGTGCCAATTTATTCTGTTAATCACAACATGTCAGCCTATGCCTATCTGCTAACTTTAACATCTCTGGACACTAGATATCTAAGTTATTACATGAAAATAATAATGTAATTATCCAAAGAAATGGAACATTTGGCAGATACTGGTTTTCTAACTCAACTGGAGTCCATCTTTGACAATTTTCAGCATGGTCCCACATAGACACGATGGCCCTTGAGAAAACCATGGATATTTCAGATCTCCTGAAACCACTGCATGTATAGTCCATACCTTTTGAATTAAATCTTTCTTCTCAGCCTTTGCAATGAGGTTCGCTCCACTTTCTGTCGGTGTTTCCGATAGTAACACAGATTTATGTAAAACCAGCGGAAGCAGAATTGGGAGAAACTGATTTGGTTGCAGTGGGAGACTTGCCCAACTTCCCCATTTCTCTCCTTGCTCATCTTCTCCCACTCCGTGCCCATGCTGTGGACAACCTCATGTCCAGGAAGTCACTGAAATTATTCTTCCCCCTTGCTTTATGCATTTTACAAACTCTGGGTTTTGCTTTCCCTGGGCTTGGTGAAATCCTTCTGGATAAAGGCTACTAATCCCTCTGCAGTCTACAGGGAAGAGTCAAAAAAGTTTGATGAGAATCAGTGGACGATTCCGCTACACGATTATCTGCTTAATCTGCCTATTCACTACATAAAGAAAGCTACACGAAGCAGGGAGAATAGATGCCCTGTCTTAACCAGCTATAAATTATCATCTTATCTGGCAGGATATTCCTACTCACACTTTATCCCCATAATAATATTAAGAAAATGTCTGCGTCTATCTTAGATTGGGTTAAACAAAAAACTGTCACTCATCCCACCCACACCAATCAACCATTTTCCTGAAAACACGGACCTTCTTAAATTAGCTAACTCTCTCAACTTGCTGAAGATCTGATGCTCAGTATGATCGAAATTAAAGGAGGCTTGTTACGTGTCAGAGAAAGAAACACTCAGATATAAGAAACACTGGAGAGAAGATTCCTGTATTCATCAGGAAGCTACCCCCTTTTTCTCTCTCCAAGCTTTGTTGTAAGAAGGCAAATACAGCTTCTGCAAGTGACAAGTCTGGTGAGGACCTTTCCAGGGAACATTATGGCCGAGAGCACAGACAGCAGTAATGAGAGAAAAGCTTGTGTAACACTTAGTTTCTAGCATGCACAATCCTAACCGCTTCACATCTACCAGTTCGTTCCATCCTCACATCATCCCCCTGAGCTAGATTACTGTCTTTGTCATCATTTTGCAGAAGGAGAAGGTGAGGCACACCTTTAGCAACTTTCAGAAGCATACTCAGCTAATAAGAGACAGAGCTGGGGCTTGTATCCAGGAACTCTTGCTACAGAGTCTGTGGCCTTTGCTGTACTATATCGTCACTTAAATTCATCTGGGTTTGAATCCTTCCTCTGTCATTTATTGACTGTGAAATCATGGACAACTTCTCACTGTTCTTATCTATAAAATAGAGATGACAGTGCTGCTATACTCTGAGGTGGTAGAGAGAGGTATAAATGAAAACAGTGCACAGCAAACATTTGCACAGAGCCTGGATGTGATAGATGTTCAATAGTAAATGGCATCTCTGATATCACCATCAACATCATGGGCAAGAAGTGCTTCGTGGGGCTTAAGGAACCAAGGACCTAAGTGTATGCACTCAAGACTAAGCAGGTACTGATACGGGTATAATTGGTTTACGGATTTGAAAAATGCCCTAATACTGCTCCCCATACAGAATACAAGAGTAGAGAAAATGCAATCGCTATGAATACTTGTAGTATACAATTTAGCCAAATAATGAATTTGTATGCCCCCAAATAAAAATGTTAAGCTGATTTGTTGCTGTGGTTCAAATTTGTGGCAGTACAAAATAAATTATTTGTTCAAAACTAGCAAAGAAAAAAAAGTCTCCTGTTTGAGTTATCCAGGAGAAACAAAATAATTTTGTGGAAAGTAATGAGAATTTTAGTGAAATTATTCCACTGCATTTTTATTTTGGTTGCATTTTTCTTTTATTTAATTTTGTAAATAGATCATAGAAAACTTACATTGGCTGGATCTGAGGACACCAACAGGTAGCCAAGTTTGGGGGCATTTTTTGTTGTTGTTTTTTTACATCTTAACATCATGGAATGGTGGACCCAGAAGTGTTCTTAAAGGGTCATCTAGGTCAGCTCCAAGCATAGCATTCCAAATTTCATTTTTTACCTGATTAAACTCCTGGATGAAATTCAAATTGTTTTTCACATTGAGGCAAAGCGTAGCCTATGCAATTGCTACAGAAACTCATCTGCGCTGAAAGTCTCTTAGAACAGTGGTAGGTGAAAACCAACCAAAAGGGTCATTCATTTACAAACAGCTGGGAATTCATTACACGTTCCATTTCCTCTTTAGTGGCTGAAGACCTATGATATCTAAATTCATCTTTTCCAATTGTCTCCTTTTGAAAGATGGTGAATTTAAGACTCAGAGACATTAGGTGCAGCTGGTCCAAGGTCACAAGGGTGAATCATGGCATAAGCGCAGCAGGAGTCCACGTCACTCATCATTCCGGGTTATGCCTGTGCCCTTCCCAATGTTACACCACCTTCGATGTCCACTTTCGTCTTTGACAAACCAAAAACAGCACTGCTGCTAACATTACAGAGGAAGGACTCACAGAAGGAGTAGCTGGCTCATTAGCTCTGCTTTCTGCTGAGAATACTCATCAGCACAGTCTCAGGGAAAATCTTTCTCCTTCACTGAAAAGCGTTATTTATAAGATGGGAGTGATGAAACCGGGGTTACCAGCGTCTGCGCTCTCTGCCTCTCCAGGGGAGACCCTCCCCTCACAGGATGACTTGCTGAAGCAGTGCTGGAACTGGCTTTTGCCTTGTTCACAGGTTGCAACAATGTTGATGCCATCATTTAATTAGTCCCTTTGAATACAGTTTTGGTCTCACAAGAAAGGGATCTATTCGGCCTCCTAGACGTGCCAATTGTCCTTCTAATGTCTAGAGAGATAGTCCACAAATTGTCAGGAGGAAAAGAGAATTATGATATTTCAGGAGCTGATATTACAGGGTCAGTTCCCTAATTTAGGGAAATTGCTAACTGGGCAAAAATTTAAATCCACAGCATTTACTGAGCATCTTCTGTGTTCTAAGCACAGGTCCTAGGCCCTTTCACATGCATCATCTCTTTCATGTCCCCCCATGAAGCTGCAAGAAAAGCATCACCTTCCTTTGTCTGCACCTCCACTGTGTGGTGTGCTAAAAGATCAGGGAAACTAGAATCAGAGCAACCTGCCCTGAAATTGCACGTCCACCATTTCAATAAGTATTTTTCACATCCTACCAAATAAAAGATAACACTTTGCTAAATGCCAGGAATATCATGGTGAATAAGACAGACATGGTCCCTGGCAGCATGGAGTTTGTACATATTGCAAAAAGGTGCAGTAGCCACTTCCAAAACAAAGCAGGAGCATAAGCAAACAAAATAATTACAAAATCAAACATATGGAATTGCTGGGTTCATTTCTTATGTTTTTAATGCTGATAAATATTGACAGGGATATACCTGTTTAATACTTATTGACACATGCAGCAAATTTTCCTCCATACAATTTGTAACCAGTTACGTTTTCAGCATATTGGTGCAGCATTTCCTCAACACTGAATGAATCCTATTCTAAGTCTTCTCCCGACCTGTTCCGTGAAAGCTTCCAGAAA